CGGACAGACGGACGGACAGTAAGACGGACAACTAGGCTAGCGCAAAGGCAATGGGAACGGAATAGGATCCTTTCACGCTTGACTCGCTTTTGGCTTGGTTGCTTCAGAAGGACCTTTTACAGCTATCTTCCTTTTTTTCTGGTGTGATGCCGCTGAAGTCTAGTAGTGGTGCGTTTTAGGGACGTTATCAGAGGACAACCCTCAGTGCTCCCCAAACCCCACCACCAATTCGATATGGGCACTCGGTTATATGGCTTCCGCGAGTTAAACAACATATGACATTTGGGTGGTCGTAGAACTTTCAACACACAAAGAAAAGCCCGGCTCGGTGCCCAAAGACAGGGACAGAGGCAGCGGCAGTTGCAATGGCAGCGACGCCGATAAGCGCAGCGACAACTGAAACGATTTTGATTGCAGCCAAGAACAAAGAGCAGCGCATCAGCCTCGGCAACTTTTTTTTTTTTTATTATTAAAATAAAAAAGAAGATAACATATAAGAGTTCACAACTAATAGATACTATGAGAAAGAACTTTTTAGATTCAATACAAATACCTACAGTATATAGAGCATGCTGTAAATCTCTTACACAAAGCACACACACATTCACAAATGAAAACGTCTGTAAACAAATACATATATGTACCTATATACACACATATATGTATGTTGCTACGCAACAAATGTCGTCAACGTCGTCACATCGCGTCGTCATCCTCTATTTTCAAGCCAATATAGCGAACGAAAATTAACCAACGGAAGCAATACAACAAAGCAAAATAAATTTAAGTCGGATCAAAGTGAGTTGTTGCAGTTTACATACTTGCAGCAAAACGGCAAAGCACAAAAAAAGATTCAGCAACTGAACTGAACTGACGAAATAAGAACAAATTTCTTATCAGCAGGGTTCTTTTTGTTTTATTATTATTATTATTATTTTTTTTTTTTTTTTATAATGACGCAAATAGAGTGGGGCAAACCTGCAAAACGCGGCAACAAAGTAAAAAATGCTACTAAATTTTACAACAACAAAAAATAAATAAAGGTTTATTGTTTGTCGTTGGGTTGGAATTGTATTCAGTTCAATTCGTTATTCACCACTATTCACATTTCAATATTATTTTTTGGAAGCCCTTTAACTGTGTTCGCCCTGCCCACAGCACGAATTCAGTGTAGTTTAACTGTTAACCTGCAGTAAGAGCTGCTCTGCATACACACGACGCGTAAAACAGGGAGATGGAAACAGAGAGAGGAAAAGGTAGACGCAGAAAGAGAGAGAGAGAGAGGGAGAGAGAGCAAAGGCCCTAAAAGGCTAGCCAAGTAGTGCTGCCAACATTTCCGGCAATATGCCAAATTACACTTTCAAACCTGCTAGAAACGGCTAGATCAAATTCAAGAATAGCCAGAAATATAGCCATTTCAGTTTTTATACCCTGAACCCATTGAAAATGGGAAATCAGGGTATGAAAGTATATACATATATTCTTGATCAGGGCGACGAGCTGAGTCGATTTAGCCTTGTCCGTCTGTCTGTCCTCCGTCTGTCCGTATGTATGAACGCGTTGATCTAAGAAGATATAAGAGCTAGAGTCCATCCAAAAGAAAAATGATTAAGCAATTTAGTTCCAATAGTAGGTACACACTGCAGCCAATGCGTCTTTTATCTGTGCGTGCGTATGTGTGTGGGTGTCTTGTGTAAGCAGAAATACACGAAGAATTATTGAAATATCAATTGCTCGAGGGCTTCAAGGGATGTCGTACTCGAGAAGTTTCGACTAGAACTTTCTTACTTGTTATGAATTATATTTTTATTCGAAAATTGACTCAATAAAATCAATGACTACGAATTGTTTGTGCCAATAATTTTCAAGTACTTTGGAGGCACTTTAAATAATCGATTTTAAACAAGTAAGAAAGCTCTAATCGAGACTGCTCGACTACGAGATCCCCTGAACCCTTGGAGCAATAGATATTTCAATAATTTTTCGCGTCTTTCACAAGAAACACGCACACACACACACACGCGCACACACAGGCATACATACATACACAAACGCATACACACACACACATACACACACAAGCAACCACGCATAAACACGCATGGGCTGCAGTGTGCGCTTACTATGAGAACTTAATTGTTTAATAACTTTTTTATGGACGTACGATCTTCATGAAACTTTCAGATTATGATTATAACATGAATATGCATGTAATTGCCAAAGCACAAGTCTCTAGTATTTGAAATACGCTTTTTACAAAAGTGAGGGTGAGGGGGTGAATTTAGAGGTGGGGGTACATTTTAACAAAAACCGAACTTGTATAAATTTCATATAAGCATACATTAAAAATTTGGAGACTCTAGCAATAAAGGTGTAGAAGATATAATTTTATAACTGGTTTTCGATAAGGGTTTTAATCGATAAAAAAAAGATCGGGATGAGTTATCGATTTTTAATGATAAACTTGATATGCGCGCTGTAATTACGGACATTTAAAAAAAAATTGAAGTCTCTAGCTCTTATATCTTCTGAAATCGACGCGTTCATACATACGGACAGACGGACGGACGGACAGGGCCAAATCAACTCAGCTCGTCGCCCTGATCAAGAATATATATACTTTGTGGGGTCTGCCACGCCTCCTTCTGCCTGTTACATACTTTTAACAAAACCATTACACCCTGATTTCCCATTGAAAATGGGTTCAGGGTATAAAAATTCCAAATTTCCCGCCAGCAGATAGATTACAATTTTCCTGCAATTTGCAGTTGAAAACAAAAAAGAACGTTGCAGTCGGGCGATACCGATTGCAGAAGACTCATTCACAGCCCAAACGCCGCCAACCAGAGTATATAGTGCAATTTCAAGTCTAGTGCGCAACAAAAAACAGGGCGTGATCCCATTAAAATTGGAAAATCATCCATAGCTATTGCTATGATCATTGCATCATTGCATTCAAATTACGTACATATATAATGTATACAATTTTGATTTTTATTAAATATTTATATCCATATATTGGATACCGGCTTCAAGCTAGCAGCAGATCAGCGCGATTTTCTTATACATGTGCACACACTCATCGTCTATTCAATGCCTACAGACAGAAGCGCGCCTTTTCTCACGTTCTTAGAATTTCGATTGATTACTGGACTTTCTAGCCGTTACTATAGTTTTGTCTGATGACGCTCTGTTATTAAGCTATTCTATTTTAGCAACTTGGTGGTCAAGCAAAGCAGTGGCGCGGGTGCTAAGGGTGACGCAAATTATGTTAGAGGTTCGAAACCTCTTCGATGTTATTATTTTTATTTTTTTTCATACATATTTCGTTTTTTATAAAATAGATATTTTATTGGGAAGGTGCGAGCTTGAATGAATGGAAATTAATACTTTTATTTTCTTAGTCGAATAATTTTATTTTTGTTTCTTCTTAAATAGCCCTCAAATACATATACGCATATACATCTTTATTTTAGATATTTTGACATGAACATGCTATTCGGCGAGTTCAAATCCCGCGGAAAACTCTTTTTTGTAAATTACAAATCTTTGTTATTTTAGTTTTTTTTTTTTTATATTTAATTAATTTTATAAAAATGTTTCCTTCCGTGTTATCAATACTTATTAAGCCTATTTATGTGTACAAATACAAAAATAGATGGCTGACGCATATAAATGCCTTTTTTGCCACGCCCCAAGTGGGCGGATCGGGAAAATTTTAACACTATAAATCGGAGATATACACGAGTATGTGTTCCAAATTTCAAGTCTCTAGCTTCAATAGCGCCGAAATAGATTGCGTTCATACGGACAGACGGACGGACAGCAAGACGGACATTGCACAAAACCAATATACCCATTTCACTTTCGTGAATGGGTCTAAAGACCACGTCTGGCCGGTAAAAGGCTAAGTTGGCAGCCCTGAAGCCAAGTCGTTTGGGTTTTGTTTTTATTTTTATATCTTCTTTCCTTCTTTTCTTTATTGTTCGTTTGATTTGCTGCGAGAGCTCAATTTTTTTTTTTTATGCTCCGTCAACGCTGACGATGCACTGCTGCTGTAGTGCAACAAGTTGTTGCCAGCTAACAGCGCTGCCCACATTTACATATTTTTTTAAACTAAATTATTGTTAATAAAATAACATAAAAGCTTTGGGTTTCCATTTTAGTTTCCTTCACATGTACACAACATGAAATAATACAGTCGAGTCTCGATAATTCGTACCACGTAAATCAAAAATCGAAATAAAAATAAATAAATCGAAAGAAAAATAAATAAATAAATAAAAATAAAAAATACTATCCCCTTAAAAAAAAAAAAAAGAAAAAAATGTTCTCAATAATGATTTGAATTTCTGTCTAAATTGAAAATCGTCGGGATTGTACTGTAGTATAATAATTGCTCTTACTCTCTTGGGTGACATGATTACGCTTTCAAACTGTCTCTGCTGCACAATTACTTGACTTTAGAAGTTATCGTTATAACAAAACGGGAACAATACGCAGTCGCATAGAATACTTCGCAACAAAACATAAAAAGGCCTCTTCTCATTGAACTAAACAAACTAAACTCGTGAGAAGCGATTGTTGCTTTTGTTGCTGTTCAGTTTGATGTAGTAAAAATGTTGCTTCATTGATTTTAGCAACAGCTTGCATCAACCCCTCACGATGTCACGCCTCTGAGCAACTAAAATTTGATCAATTCCATATGTTAAAGGGGGAGAGAGAAACGTCAAATATAACATAATATACATGCGTATTTTTAGTTAATAAATTATATTGATCTCACAATTCACTCAGCAGACGTAATTATAACTAGAGATTTGAATATACAATTAAACATGAGCATAAGCACATACATGTGCACCTATAAATTTTCATACACACATTGATGCCAATTAAATTGTAAATTAATCTATGGCAATCCTCTTCTTGGGTACCCACAGCAGCAGGATCACAACAAAGACATTTTAACAGTATATGTAGATATATGCAATACTCACTTCTCGCGATGCAGCAAACATATGCGATCCTTGGCAACTTTCAGTTTTTTGGCTATAATCTTCTTCAAGCTTTCGATGCTAATGTGGGGCTCGACGCAGACGCTGAAATTGCCGCCAGTTGTCGTACTAACATTGAGGTTAATCATCATATTATTACGTTCCATTCCAGTTCCCGTTCCCAATCCAGTTCTGTTGGCAACTGTTGTCGAATTGTTGGTACTACTGAGCAACGCACTTGTTGTGGCCATTGCGGCTGCCATGGCCGCAGCCTGCGCAAACGTTTGCCTGCCAGCATTGTTGCTTTTATTGTCATCGTTCTTGTTGTTGTTGTTGATGCTGGTGTTACCAATGTTGCTGCTGTCGATGGCTCCACTGCTGCCACACCCTGCCCCATTTGTTGCTGCTGCCTCGTTTTTAACGTTGGCGTCCGTTGTGGCTTTCGCATTTGCCGTGTTCGTTGTGGTTGATTTATCCATCATTAAACAAATATATCTCTTTCACGAAACAAAAACAAACAAAAAGCAACACACTCAATCGGTCAAGGAAAATATTTAAAACAAAATAAAGGAAATTAACAATCAGCAATTGAAAACCCTGCACACAAAAAATGCGTCGAAAATCGCGTAACGGAGGCTGCGACGTCGATGACGGCGACTGTAGCGTTGATTCAATCGATTTTGTATACACACCACACCTTATATGCACGTACGTACACACAGCTACGCATACGCACAACCACACAGAGGGATAACGAACGTATGCACGCACAGCACGAAGAGCGAGAAACATCAACGTTGATAGGTGACGGCGGCTGCGCTGCTTCTAAATTTTTCGTCTATTTGATGTGTGGCGACTGAGAAGTGTCGCTGCTACTGCTGCCACCAAAGTATGGGGATGGTTGCGAGAGTTACGTGTATTTGGAAACAAGCTCAACGTGGCGAACGATGCGTGGTAGGTTTTTGTCGACCGATTGCGAAACCGTTTAGAGTTTGACTTGCACTGCAGTTGCTGTTCCTTCATCTACGATCTCTTGCTGGCTAGGTTAAAATGTTCGGCTTATATGTATTTGTGTTTATTGGAAAAATTTATTCCAATGCGGCGTATCTGGGCATATGGATCACTTGCTTTGCTTATTCATTTAGGCGCGAACACGCGGCAATTGTTCAGAATCTGATTTTATTTACAGCTACGAAATTGTAACGGATTCATTGCTTTGCTGTTGAGGGCTTTTCTAAATATGTGCTGTTAGCGCACACACAGCCACAATTTACCTTTATCTTTTGTAGCAATGGTCAAAGAATCAAATTACAAGCGGAGGAAACGTTGATGACCAACAAAATTAAAAAAAAAAAAACCTCAGCACACACACACCAGGCGTCAACGCACAGTCAGAAAAGTAAATCTCGCGTACCGAGCGTCGCACGTCCGCCTCGACCGGCTTTGGGTTTGCTTCTAAATTATCGATGATAACATTTTATTGAAAGGCTTGCAATGTTATCGGAATGCATCTGTTCACATAACATAGTTATGTTACTCAAGCCATTAATACACGGTTGAGTGTGTCACTACGAGGGCTGCCAACCCTCCGTCTTTTCACGTAGATCTCCGTATTTTAAAGGAGATCTACGAGCCTACGTGTGATGAGACTAAAACTACGTACTTTTAAAAAATATTGCAAAATACCCTAATATCAATATATTATGAATTAAACAAAAAAGGTAATAAGATTTATATTGGGTTAGCAGCACTAAATTCCGTTTTCGATATGTTTACGAATGCCAATGGGTTAGCAGCGCTAAATTGCAAAAAGATTGGCATCGCTTACTTTAGAATTTGTGCTTGAAATTGGAGGGAAAAAAATGAATGTGAATCACTAACCAAAGAACACATAGACCGGACAAGTAGTGTAAAGCGTTTTGCACACTTTTTTCGGGAGTTATCTCCCAGACCACTTCGTATTTGCTCGGCTCATCACTTTTTGGGTTCGGGCTACGAAAAAATACGAACGCACAATCATTTCGCTTCATGCGCAGTGTGACCGAATATGGTATTTTAAATACTTTTAGGTATTTAGTAGCATTTTTCTTAGATTTTATGGTATTATATGGTATTTTCGGCTTGGTCACACTTTAAGTCTTAATGAATCGAATGCTTAATGCTTAAGACTTGCTTAATTTTAAAACAAATAAATAGAAAACATGAGCAATAAGCAAAAATATAGAGCTGAGTGGGAGACTATGCCGGAAAATGAAAAATGGCTGGGCAAATAATATTGATGCGCACTGCAAAGCGTGCCAGACTGACATTTTGAGTAGGCTGGCGTCACTTAAGCAGCACGCGGCTACACAAAAACAAAGATAATATGAAATACTTCTGTGGAAAATCAAAGGTGAGTTCTTTATATGCTTTTAAATTATATGTAAATAATAACTATTCTTTTTTCAGATTCAATCGTTTTTTAAAGAGTCGGACAACACTCTAGCTACCTCTATCAAAAAGGCAGAAATTTTGTTTGCTGCAGCGATTGCTGAACATAAGATATCTATGAGAGCAATGGACCATATTAGCGATGTGGTCAAGCATGCGTTTCCCGATAGTGCCATTGCGCAAGGGTTTTGCTGCAAACGCACCAAAACAGCTTCGCTTACGTACAATGGACTGGCACCTGTGATGAAGGAGCAACTGATCTCTAGCATGAAACGGTGCGTTTCTGCAGCGGGAAGGCCTGTGTTCTCCATAATCATTGATGAATCGACTGATGTTTCGTGTACAAAGGTCTTGGCGTGTGTTTACCCTTATTTTTTTTATATATAATAAGTCTGGTATTATTTTTACATATTATAATTTGAATTTCCAGACGATTTATTTGTTATTGTATTTATAGTGGTATTTTGTAAAATATGAAATAGTATTTTATAGTATATTTTTGAGACCAAATTGGTATTTCTCGTTTGGTCCGGCGCGGTCACGCTGCGACTGCTGCCACGAACAGTGTTGCCGAAACTTTTTCAGCAAAAGTAGCAAAACCGAAGGCTGAAAGTAGCTAGAAGTAGCCAACTTTCTTCTAAAATAGCTGAAAAAGTAGCAAAAAAGTAGCAAAAAAGAAAACAGTGCTGTTTTTTCATAAAAAGTCAACTTTATTAATTTAATTCTGATAATATCTCATCTATGACCACCAGCTCGTCATTTTCACCATTGTCGCTTTTATAATTTGCCTTTTTAAGGTAGTTGGGTGGAACGCTATACTCATAGCAACATTTGCCATATCGGCGTAATCCATATGTTTTGTGGACATACAATCTTAATGAAACTTTCAAAACGTGATCATATGGCTAAAATGTGTGTACATTCCAAAGCACAAGTCTCTAGTACTTGAAATGCGTTTTTTACAAAATGATGGCGTCAATGGGTCAGGGTATAAAAACTGATAAGAAATGAATTTTGCATAGCATATTAGAAAGCTTACCTATTCTTCAGTTGTAGTATTAATTCTACACAAAGCTCAGTACATTTAAATCATTTACATTTAAAAAGTATCGAAGCGAATTTTGTTATAAATTCGCTTGCATTTTAGCTAAATTTAATATTTGAAAATAGCCAGATTTGTAGCTAATAGCTGTTTGAAAATTTTTGTAGCAATCGGCCTTAAAAAGTAGCCAGATCTAGCTACAAAATAGCTGATTCGGCAACACAAAACATATGGATTACGCCGACATGGCAAATGTTGCTATGAGTATAGCGTTCCACCCAACTACCTTAAAAAGGCAAATTATAAAAGCGACAATGGTGAAAATGACGAGTTGGTGGTCATAGATGAGATATTATCAGAATTAATAAAGTTGACTTTTTATGAAAAAAAAACAGCACTGTTTTCTTTTTTGCTACTTTTTCAGCTATTTTAGAAGAAAGTTGGCTACTTCTAGCTACTTTCAGCCTTCGGTTTTGCTACTTTTGCTGAAAAAGTTTCGGCAACACTGGGTCTATGTGTTCTCTGGTTAGTGATTGCGCCGTCTTGGCAAATGTTGCCATAATAATGAACTGCCACAAAAAAAATATATTAATCTTATAAGTTGCATCGATAAATATGCAACTTCTTCAGATTGTGACTTAGATAAAATAAGTGCACAATTAGACATTTAATATTTATGCTTTATTTCATGTATGGCCTTTTTTAAGCCTGTTTTTTAGAATCTTTAGCCCATTCTAGCTTATATTTTTAAGAAATTTGGCCTATTTTGTCGTTCAAAATCTGGCACCACTGGTTAGTGATACGACGAATATTTATATGCAACTCTGAGACTAAAGCGCCACCTACTTGAAGCAACATGGTTGCATTCGTTGTCAGCTGTCAGTTTTGACAAACGGAAGTGACTTTCTTGTGTCAAAACGGTGTCGAGTTCTTTTCGTTTAAAGGTCTCTTGTGCGAAAGTTGTGTTTTTCCGTGCATTTCACGTTTCGTGTCAAAAACTATAGACTTAAAGTAAGAGGTCTTGCAAACTATAGTGATGCTTTATACAAATTATTAAATAAGATAAATAAATGAAAAGCGCAAGCGATGCCTTATATACAAGAAGATTAATATTCGTATTATAACATGTTTCTACTCTCATAGAATGCGTTACGTGGCTGCATACCTGTTGGCTGTTCTCGGTGGTCAAGATAGCCCCGCCAATGCTGATCTGGAGAAAATTCTTAGCTCTGTGGGTATTGAGGCCGATGCCGAGCGTCTGACCCGTGTCATCAAGGAGTTGAAGGGCAAGAGCATAGACGATCTGATCAAGGAGGGTCGTGAGAAGCTATCATCGATGCCCGTTGGCGGTAGTTGTGCTGCTGCTGCACCCGCAGCCGGTGCTCCAACGGCTGCTGCTGGTGGTGATAAGAAGGAAGCCAAAAAAGAAGAGAAGAAGGAAGAGTCTGAGTCTGAAGATGACGATATGGGCTTCGCTCTCTTCGAATAATCCAACTTCTTTCAACATTCGTATGTACTGCGTAAAACATTTACAACAGCAGTACTTAAGGTACGTCGTATATGCAATAAAAAACCAAAAAGCTGGGGGGATAGGCAAACACCTGATGAACCGAACTTACACCATCTTTCGACTGATCACACACGTTGATGCCATACAAGTTTCACTGATTCATTTGCCATCCCGCTTCCACAGTAGTTATTTTCGCTATTTTCAACGAAACGTACTGTTTCATACTTTACTAATGTTTTTTATTTCATCTCTTGCAGAACTGGGCAGCACAATCATCGACTGCTTACACAATGCCACACATTGCTTAAAATGACGTTCAAATCTTGTTACTACCACCCGACAAATATATTAAAAAAAAAAAAGGAAACTTTAAAACGTTTATTTCTATGAAATAAAAATTTGCAGTGTTTACGCATCGTTCATCGTCATCTTTTTTTTTTTTTTTTTTTTTTTATTATTATTATTTGAGATGTGTGAATATGTTTTCTTATTCGTTTAATTTAGTTTTCAAATAGAGCAATTTCTTGTAAGCAAGAATTATAAGCCGCAGTTGCTGGTACCGCAGACCGAGTTTATGGAGAATCATTAAAATAGCAACGTACCAATCTAGGTACACCTAAAATGGTTATTTTTATTTGCTTGCGATGTATCTTGTTTTTGTGTAGAGAAAATGAGTATTCACGTATTCATAGGCATTCGCTATTTCGCGGTTACAATTTCCGATCAATTGAAAAGTCTCCATTAAATGCAATAAATTCGACTTATAGCAAATTGATGACAAGTCAGTTCACTTAAATTTATGGAATTTACTCAATCAAATTAGATGTTAATATTGAAATGGTCACAAAGCAACATTTTAGTACACAGTTGCACTTCTATTTTTATAGCAGCAGCTGCATATATACATATGTATGTTCATATATACGCAGATAGGTTACATGATAAAATTTTAATTGAGACTAACTTCGTAAATCCTCATTCACATAAATGAGCGGGACTTTTAGTCAAAAAAGTTTAGAATACTTTCCTTTCGGCAGAGTTTCATATAATTATCGCAATCTTGGTCTTTCAGGTAAGATTTCGTTTTGTATTATATTTGAGCTGTGTACGCGCGCGCTGTAATCGATCAAAGATGGCAACGCTCGAGTTCTGGATAAGTACTGTTAGATCTCTAATGAACCGCTTATCCGCGTGAACTCTACAAATGTGCGGAAATGGGTCTGGATTGCATGGATAGCTGCAGTCTTTGAGCTCTGTTCATTCGTTGAAGTCGAAATATTCGTGTCTAATATCTGTTTTTTTTTTTTGCACTGTACTCTACCATTTTGTTTTTTATTAAAAAAAAAAAAATGACTGCCATCCGCAATATGTCTGAGTTCCACAAGCGCTTCGAGGCGGCCGAACATAAAGTGATTGTTCTGGACTTTTATGCTACCTGGTGCGCTCCGTGCAAGGACATTGACAAGGTGGTGAAAGCACTCGCGCGCCAGTACGCCAACAAGGTGGACGTAATTAAGATTAATGTGGACCGATTCGATGATTTGGTGGAAACCTACAAGGTGCGCAGCATGCCTACATTTGTGTTCATCAAGAACAATCGAAAAATTGGCCGAGTCATTGGAGCAGATGAGCACAAACTAAAGCAAACGTTATCTAAAGTCTGCAAATAATTAGTAATTTAGTGACGCAGGCGTCGTCTTTGATTAACTGATTGATTATATGTATAACTGTGTAGCTTGTAACATGCAACGCCAGCCATTTTGAAAAAAAATTTGTTCAGACATAACCTTTAAGTTCCAATCTGATATTATTTTTAACTTATCAAAACATGTAATAAATATGTAGCTTTAGATATAATTAAATACATATATATTTCATATACATAAGTAAAATGATTTAATGCCACGAAAAGCATATACATGTAAGTACATACTTGTTGTTCTGTATTAACCAAATATCTAAATATAACAAATTACATACATATGTATGTATATTCGCTTCTTTCCTTATTTTATATATGTATACATATACATATATGTATGTATGTAATCAGAACGATGAGCAGAGTCGATCCGTGTGTACCATGTATGCCATACCCATTTGATATCGTTTTGCAAGCGTAGAATCAATACCATATCAGTGAGAGACTATCTTCCCCTTTATATATAATTATATATAACACCATGTATAAAAGTAGAATGATTGGAATAGTAACTCTCTTGGAATAGTCCCAGTCGAGTACGTCCGACTACAGCTCACTACTTGTTATTGCTTGAATTGTTTGTTTATTTTCTACAATTCTGATTTTAAAGATTTATGCACAGTAGTTAGTCATATACTTCTTCAAAATTCTTCAATGTTATCAGCAGATGATCTACAATATAATTCACTATTTGATAATAATTGGATATTTTAGCAGCTTTAAAGTAAATTTTGAACTGCTTGTGCTAAGCCCTTATAGGTTCTGAGACTGACGTATAGACAGGCAGATGGATAAGGTTATATTGACTGAGGTGGTCGTATGCATATTACATTCATTTTAACGAAAACATTATACCAGTTTTTCCCATATTCAATGGGCTCGGAGTATACTAAGAAAAACAGTGTGAAACAACTTAAATTAAGGTCTAGGAACTGCAGTATTACTTGTGGTCTTCGAGAATGTAATCGCTCTGGGTATATCTTTGGCGCTGATCTGGCGTTAGCGCCTGTAAATCATCTTCGTCCGTTGTTGTTTCGGCTACGTAATCCTCTAACTCCCGTTGATGCTTCTTGCGCTCAGGCGTTTGCTTGCGTTCTCGTCGATTAGCTAGAAATTCTGCAAAATGGTTGCTCTTCAAAGTGACCACGTTGGCCTCAACCTCAGCTATTTTATGATGCATGCATACCAGCTCCGGGATTAGCTGATGTCGATCTATTTGTTTATGCTGCTCCCAAGCACTCTTTGATTTGCGCATTTTGACCAGAATCTTGTCCATGATGAGGCGATGATCCAGGCCGAGCACATCATGTCGCATCTCAGAAAGCTGCGTTGTAGGCGACAGCGTTGCAGCATTACCATAAAACTCTTGACGCATTGTCTGGGCGGCATCGAAGCTGTGTTTTAGCTGTTGCTCCACTTGCATGCCCTGGCCATCAAGTTCATATTCAACTGGCTTGCTTAAATTGAGTGAACGCAAAATCCCCTCCACATTATTGATGCTGCTTCCACTTTTGTCGCGCACGAATTTGATGCGCGGCACCTCACCCATGAGCCGCAGCTGAGAGAGCTCGTGGCGAAGCTGCCCGCTGCAGCGTTGTAGGTCCGCTTCCAGCGAAATATCGCTGCCCAACCAATAGACATTAATGCAGCTGAAATCAGAGCAGATTTTCACGCGCGACACCTGCAGTCCGCGTCCCAGTATTGACTCCGCGGCCTGGCCCGTAGCTAGCAGGTCGGTGATATGGGTCATGAACAGTTTATTCAGCACAGACATTCGTCTCGTATTGTTCCTAGAGCCGCGGAGCTTGCTCTTACCAAACTGAGATGACTGAAACATCACACTGACCGATTGGAAGGAGCCGCTGCTGCTATTGTTGTTAGAGCTATTGCCGTTGGTATTGTGGCAAGGATACCAGTGCTTTTTTGTGCCTGTCAAACGACTACCAAAGAGTTTACTTATAATGTTGCTCTGCCTCGTTGCATTTGTTCTGATTGCGTTGTTGCCCTTGGCGCGTCTGCACAATGAAATTGGTGGCAGCTGTGGCAGCTGTGGCAGCAACCGGTTACGCAACATTTCATATTTTCCTTTTTGTATGATATTGTCAATCCTTTTTATTTTATCTGCTTTTTTATAGTTCTTATACGAGAATACGTATATTACCCGTTATGAAAGGAAAATTGCAGCTTCTTTGTATCCTGTGCTTCCACACAATTATCGATAGTTCATACGAGCAACATGAATGAGAGCAACAGACTTTTTGGTACGTGTCAAAACTATGGACTAGTGCTGCAAATCCATCGATGGAAATATCGATAGTATCGATGGACTTTCTTTTGTTATATAGATCGATGGAATTTTCTCGATGTCGATAAATCGCTACAGACGCCAAGCACTAACCAGAGAACACATAGACCGGACAAGTAGTGTAAAGCGTTTTGCACACTTTTTTTCGGGAGTTATCTCGTATTTGCTCGGCTCCTCACTATGTCCGGTCTATGTGTTCTCTGGTTAGTGATACTACTCAAATTTCATAAAATGTTCTCCTTCAGCTTTTTAAATTTTCGATGGAACCATCGATATACTCGATAGTTTTTTCCATCGATGGAGAAATTCTCGAGTGGAGCCACCATCGATGGATGTGCAGCCCTAATGCTTAGGTATTCATGAGACGCGTTCAGACACTCCATTTGGGTCTTTCGTAATACGGATAGTTCATATATAAATAAACGCGTTCGCGGATGAAGATTTCTGCCGTTTTATTTAGTTGCTTTATCATTTTGCATTAAATACTTATTATTTTTATTACTTATTTATTAATTTATATGCCAAGTGAATTTCTTGAAAATAAACCGGGATTTATTTACGTATTTGCATACACCACAGGCTCCCGGTATTCGTAGAGCCATATGTGTGGGTGTGTGGTTTCGCCGCTTAATTTTTGCTTAAATCAACAATAACTGCTAAACTAACACACGCAGCAAAAACATTACTAGGAACAATTAAAAAGGGAATTGACATGTCATATACGGAGCTGGAGTCTGGCTACCAGGATCTGCGTCAGTCCTCGCAGAACAACGTCGTAGCTTCGCATCAGCTTCACCAACAGCAAAATCCGCATACGCAACATCCGCAGTCGTCGCATTCGCACCGCGTTGGCTTCTACCTGGGCCACGATGGCAATGTATGCAGCAATCGAACGTTTTAGCTACTTAGTACAGATACGTATATAAATCTATGTACATATAAACATTTACATTTATCAGGCCATATCCATTTTATTAAATCTCGAAGCTATGCACAAAATCAATAACCTGCCGCCTGCTGAATTCGTTGTTTTTGTCGTTGACCCTGACTTTGGCAACTTCTGGTGCAAATGACAGCAACAGAAGCCGTTTTCAACAGCTGTTTGCTACTCGCTCATTGTCACGTTGCTTTTACTTTAAATCAAAAACATGTCCATTTTGTCTGCAGCATCTTTTTAACAAAGACGCATTTGCTAAATTAAAAATATCGACACACACACACACGCTCTAGATATGTATGAGTATGTGTACGTATACATATATATATAAGTTAAGCGCTCCCACACTAGTGTACTAGTGATTGGGGACGCTGTGTTGGGTTCTTGTGAATATATAACAACTTTGAGTTCAATGAAATAATATATTTTATATAATTTGGAACAATAGGTCTAAACTCTCTCTAGTCCGAATATAAACTGAACTAAATCTGTTCCACTGGTTAGGTTCTCCCCTTGAATGTCTGACTGGACTCTCCAGCCTCCTTAGATTGTCGATAGTATATGCGTATATGTATTTGAGGGCTATTTAAGAAGAAACAAATTTAAGCTTATAAAATTATTCGACTAAGAAAAAGAAAAGTATTAGGTGCCATTCATTCAAGCTCGCACCTTCCCAATAAAATATCTATTTTATAAAAAACGAAATGTGTATGAAAAAAAAAAAAATTACAATAACAAGAGGTTTCGAACCTCCCCTACTCTAACATAATTTGCGTCGCCCTTGGCACCCGCGCCACTGCTTTGCTTGATCAGCTACTTGCTAAAATACAATAGCTTAATAAGAGAGCGTCATCAGACAAAACTAGAAAGTCCAGAAATCAATCGATATTCTAAGAATGTGAGAAAAGGCGCGCTTCTGTCTGTAGGCATAGAATAGACGATCGCGCTGATCTGCTGCTAGCTTGAAGCCGGTATCCGATATATGGATATACACTTGCCAGAAAAACTATGCGTACAGGCCTAATGTGCGACTTTGATAGAGAATAAATATCATAAATAAGAGTATTTTTATAAATATTATATTTTTTAGTGAAAAACTGTTTAATAACACACATTTATCAACCATTTAAAAAAAAAATAATATTAAACAGTTTTTTTTTATATTTTAAGTAAGAAAAAAACAACGAAAATTCACTTGGAAAAAGTATGCGTACAAACTAAAAAACAAAACAAAAATAACTTTTTTTCAATGAAAATTGGAAAATTAATATAAGGTTGGCTACCCCTTTCGCTTCTTGGTCTCTTCCAACCGTTTTGGCATCGATGCCATCAATTTCCGGGTGAAATCAGCCGGAATTTTGAGCCACTTCTCCATCAGAACCGATTAGAGCATGTCCTTTGAAGTAATTATTCACTCTCTGATCCTGCGCTCCAAAAAATCCCATAACTGCTCTATGGGATTAAGGTCGGGCGACTGAGGAGGCGATGAAGCTGGTGTCTAGTATTGTAAAGCAACCAGAGCTTGACATTGTGAGCTGTGTGTTTGGGGTCATTGTCATGTTGGAAGACAAAGTCCTCCCCAAGACCCAATTGTCTGGCGCTTTGGTGTAAATTGGTTTTTAGTATATGGAGATAATCCATATTATTCAGTATGGACTCAATAAAAGCCAAATTGCCCACTCCACTTGCTGCCATACACCCCTACACCATTACGCCACCTCCGCCGTGCTAAACGGTTGGAGCTAGATTTTGTACGTCGAATGCAGTGCCTCTCTTTCGCCACACAAGCATTCTCCCCTTGATACCAAATATACAGAATTTGCTCTCATTACTAAATATCACTTGGTTCCATTACTCTGGACTGACTTCTAAGTATTTTCTGGCGAAATCCATCTGTTTGATTTTATTTGCTTCAGAGATAAGGTGCTTCCTTCGAGCAACAGGGCATTTAATTCATTTTTCTTTAAAAATTTTCTTACGGTGTCTTTGTGAAGCTCTTTTTTGTATTTCTCTTTAACTTCCTGATTAATCTTGGCTGCAGTTAATGCGGGGCTTAACCGCACCGTCTTCAGCACATCCCTCTTCTCACTCGGTCAGCTTTGAGGGCCTCCCAGAGCGTGGCTTTGACTTTACTGAGCCAGTCAAATTAAAGTTATTCACTACTCTTTGGACAGAAGAATGCATTCTGCCAACAATTTCGCCAATTTCCCTAAAAGATTTCCCTTCATCGGGTAATTTCACGATGAGTTTCCTCAAATCGGGATCAATCTCTTTAGTTTTCCTGCCCATGACGAAATCTATCAACTTAATGACAAAATTTGCAAACCAACACGTGATTGACATTCTTTAATGCTTTTTTTTTTTACCGTAATATTCTGTTTAACGGTACTAAAAGCTTCACACGATTATTAAGAAATGTGGGTTATTAGTTTGTACGCATCAAAGTCGCACATTAGGCCTGTACGCATAGTTTTTCTGGCAAGTGTAAATATATAATAAAAATATAAATTTTATAAATTATATATGTATGTAACTTGAATGCAATGATGCAATGATCATAGCAATAGCTATCGATGA